TGTATGTGTTGAATCACCGCATGGATGTGTTGAATCACCGCATGTATGTGTTGAATCACCGCATGGATGTGTTGAATCACCGCATTCATCACATACATTCATTTCAATACTTTTCTATTATTTTTAAACTATGTACATCATATAATACTTTCACTATTAATCCTACAAAGCACAAATTGAGTGTTGAATATTAATCAGTACAGAGACGATTGAATAGTAATTTCTCATTCTAAGGAAATTCAAATTTCCCTTACGATGAAATCACACTCAACGAATTCTCACTCAACTAACTCCCACTCAATGAATTCTCACTCAACTAACTCCCACTCAACGAATTCCTAGTCAACGAACTCCCACTCAAGGAATTCTCACTCAACTAACTCCCACTCAACGAATTCCTAGTCAACGAACTCCCACTCAATGAATTCTCACTCAACGAACTCCCACTCAACGAACTCTCACTCAACGAACTCCCACTCAACGAAATCTCACTCAACGAACTCCCACTCAACGAACTCCCACTCAACGAACTCCCACTCAACGAACTCACACTCAACGAACTCCCACTCAACGAAGTATTCTCGATGAAAATCAGTATTGCCACGCATCTCTTATGTCATTTTCCGGAGTACGAAAACAGCTGCAGTGCATACAACTTGTATAGGCTGTATTAAATGAATACACGTGCTGTGTGAAGTGAATGAACGTGTAGTGTGAAATGACTGTACGCGCTGTGTGAAATAAATATACGTGAGAGATAAATACGGCTGTAGTTTAAAACGGTGTTTATCGTGTTTAGTTACCGTGCTTGTACGTAGCAACGGTTTATTTCGAGCTACGATTTTGCTGTATAGTTGTGTGTGTTGGGTGTTTGTGTGTGTTTGTGACTTGTGTGTTTCACACAAACAAAAGGGAATGGATAATTGAGCGGTTCCTTTATATCCAGAACCTGAATTACACACAAAAATACGTGTTCTTAATACCACACGAGAAAAATAGTCCTATTCTTAAATGAGAATTTAACAAGAAAATGTAGATGTGTTACTCGTGTATCTCATTTACACGATAATTTAAATCAAAAAACTTTATTTAAATTATATTTACGCTAAATTTTTGCATACTTCAATTTTGTATAAAAATCTATGTTTCACATGAAACTTCAACTTATTTATAACGTTCATTTGTTATTGAACGTTGAACTAAATTGAAATTAAGTTTACATAATTCATCCTTAAAATCCAGTTAAAAAATAACTGAGAAAATCCCCATAGAAAATCCCAGAATAATTAAAAACACAATTAAAAATAAAATAATTAAATTAGAATTAAATTAATTAAAAATATTACACCTCATATAAGGTCCAGTACAAAATATAAGGAAATTGTACAGCTTGAAAGGCTATAAATAATCACCCAACAACAACAACGCTTAGATCACATTGAGCGGCCGCAATCATGTCGTCTCGATTGCAATTAAATATTATTAGTATATTTAATATTGAAATCGAAGCCCTTTTTTATATATAAGAGAAAATATAATAGTTCGATTTATGTACATGTTTGAGAGCAGGTGGTTTAAGAACCACTGTTTTTTGCACGCTGGATGGTTTTGTTGAAATTGTTGACCTGATCTGGAAGGCCTCAGAATTAGAGATGGTCGGAACGGTCTGATGGTCAGCTGGTTCTTAAAGGCCAGACGGTCAGCTGGTTCTTAAAGGCCTGATGGTCAGCTGGTTCTTAAAGGCCTGATGGTCAGCTGGTTCTTAAAGGCCTGATGGTCAGCTGGTTCATAAAGGCCAGACGGTCAGCTGGTTCATAAAGGCCAGACGGTCAGCTGGTTCATAAAGGCCAGACGATCAGCTGGTTTGAAAATTTCTAGTATTCAGTTGGTGCAGGTGATTGGGAAGTCAGGGTTTCTTTATGTACAGATGGTGCTCAGGGTCAACAGTTGGTGCATCTAGGGATCTGGGATGACGTCAGTTGGCACCACCTGCAGCATCAGCTGGAAGAAGGTGGTCACATGGCCTGGGAGTGAAAACAAACATATTTCATTACACACATTACCCCTTAGCCAACATTAGGCTAATGTAGTTCATGTAAAGCTGTAAAATATATCAGTACTCAGGCAACATTAGGCTAATGTAGTTCATGTAAAGCTGTGAAATTTAAGCTTTCAAGCGACCCTGAACTAGAGCTATGGTAAGCTAACCCATGCCGGGTTGATCCATCGTTTATCATGCCGGGGAGCACTGTCCGGTGTCAATCGGTCGTCTCATTATATTCTTTATAATTAAGAGTATATTATATGATTATATCATCTGTAATTGAGACGTAATATTCATTTGACGTGATGGAGATTGAAGGAAAAGTACTAGACTTTAGTCAGCGTCTAGACGACATCACGTGACAGATCACGCGATCAAGACCTTTGTTGTGTGCGGAAGCCGAGGTACTATAAAAGGGCTGGGAACCTTATAGTAAGGCCCACGCAGAAGCTAACAAGCGCGCCTCTATGTAACTCTCGCGTTAGAGTTACTCCGACCTAACGGTCGACACCGTAGCCTATACCTGTATCGTATCACTCATGTATTGCCACCCTGTATCAAGATAAGTTCTCTAGACAGAAGGTGTCTTACTTATCCCTCACGCCTTAGTCAACGAACCCTCTCTACCCTGTAGGCACATAAATGTGCATCCGGGACATTTAGCATTTTTATGCGCCTACAGGGTAGAGAAGGGATCGTTGACTAAGGCGTGAGGGATAAGTAAGACACATCTTCTAGATACCTTATCTCCATACGAGGTGGTAATACATGACTGACGGTGTCGACCGTAAGGTCGGAGTAATTCGACCGTAAGGTCGGAGTAATTCTAACAACGCAAGTTACAGAGCGGAGCGCTTATCAACTACAGCGGGGGCTCTTACAAAGGTTTGCAGCCCTTTTATAGTCTCGGCTTCAGCCCAGCAACTGAGGTCTTGATCGCGCTATCTGTCACGTGATGTTGTCCAGACCCTGACTGAGGCCTAGTACTTTTCCATCAATCACTATCAGGTCAAGTGAATATTACGTCTCAATTACATATGATCTAATCATATAATATAATTATAATGAATATAATGAGACGTCAGATTGACACCGGACAGCACGTAGCGCAACCCTGCCCATTGTTTACCCATGCCGGGGAGCACGTAGCGCAACTCTGCCCAATGTTTACCCATGCCGGGGAGCACGTAGCGCAGCCCTGCCCATTAGGGCGCCGTAACACTGTCACCTTATACGGTCTGTAGGCGTGGGGGCGCCGTAACACTGTCACCTTATACGGTCTGTAGGCGTGGGGGCGCTGTAACACGAGTCACCTTATACGGTCTGTAGGCGTGGGGGCGGGTGCGCCGTAACACCAGCAGGGCGACCATGGCGCCCCCGTAAAAGATCCAGGCCGTAAAGCTGAAGAAGTCGATGAGGGAGGCGATGTCGGAGGGAATGATCATGAGCAGCGCGATGATGGCCTGGCGGGGGATGAAAATATTATTTCCTTTTTAACATTTAATATTGGATTTAAAAAGGGAAATTTAAAAGGGGAAATCGAAAAGGGGAAATTGAAAAGGCGAATTCAAATATGCTTGCGATTTATCAAGGAAGAGAAATTCTAGACTAATTTTGTATAATGGTATATTTGGATTTGAAAATAAGCAAGATTAGTAAGAGAAATTTTGAGCTTGTGGAGATGGGATACGCATATTTAGTTGTGGGTACACCTAAAATTGGTGATGAATGTTGCATCAATAGGAGATAAGATTTGAAAATGAAAATACGTATGCTCAAATGCATAGATTTGTGAATGAAAATACGGATGCTTAAATGCATTAAATTTTGCAGATGGTGAAAGTTGTGTAGGACCTTTGACGGCACACAAGTTTGAATGTGAATATTTTCTGTATGAATACTTGTTTGTGAACTGTGGACAAGCTAAACTTGGATGCGTGAACAGAGGGAAAGTAAAAGTGGGCTTTTTATTTTGGCTAAACAGGAATCTTGAAAATTAAAACTTGGTGAATAAACGCCTGGAAAAATTAAAGAAATTATGTTAATTTTTGAGGTAAAAAAAGGCTGTTCGTTGAATTAGGGAAATTTCAGGAAATAAAAATACCGTTATCAAATTTGAATGTTAAAACGCAGTTTCAAATTTCAAAAAATTTAAACGTTATCATTGATTTTGACGAATTAAAACAAGGTTGTTGATTTTTATAGATGAAAAAATAAGCAAAAATTTTGTGAAATATATAGGTTTTTATAAATTTTGTGAAATTAAAACATTGTTCTCCATATTGAGGAATTAAAACAAGTTTTTGAATTTTCCATTTTTTCAGAGTTTTTAAATAAAAAATACACTTACATTGAAGATGAGGGCGGTGGACGGGGTCTTCTTGTGGACGTGGACAAAGGACAGCACGTCCACCATGTGGCCTTCACGGGCCGCCACGAAGCACAGCCTGCCGGGGGTGAAGGACGGTTATATATTTTTTCAATTTTAATTAATAATTCATGAAGCCCTGTATCCTGAAAAATTTTTCATCATGTATATTTCTTATTATTGTATCATTGTTATTTATTTAATATATTTATTATATATTTATTCATATTATATGTATATCCAATATACGGTATATATTATTATTTGGAGAATATTTTTCATTACATATTATTTCTCTATAAATAAAACAAAAATTAGACGTCGAAATATTGAGCCGATTATCCAAATTACGGTATTTAATTTTATTTTATTTTCATAAATTAAATAACTCCTGAAAACCGATTAAGAAAAAAAAACATGCCGCAGATTTTCGTTGCAATATCAACCGAAAAAAGTAAACGAAAACCAGGAAAATGGAATAGCAAAAAATACAGCAAAAACACGAAACAGAAGAAGGAGAACTGCGTGGATGAACAAAATAGAGAACGAAACAGATTTTTGTACCGTAGCTGAATTATTGCACATTCTGCATCGTAAAATATTGACAAAAAAGTTGCACCGCAGAACTTCAAACCCGTTCATTGAAAACACAAACCTAGTTACATTAGTAACCAGTATTAGCACTAGTACTATACAAATAGTATTAGTACTAATACTAGTACAAGTGATAATCCTAGTACATGTACTAATTCTAATACATGCACTAATACTAATACATTTACCAATACAAGTACGAGTACTACTGCTAGTACTGTGGGTCAGCAACTTTTGGGGAACGTAGAGAAAAAAATTCGAAAGTCAGGAAAAATTTTATGAGGTTAAAAGATCTTGATAAAATTAGCAGCATGATAGCGCGCAGATAGAAATAATAGGACGATTAAAAATAAAATGCAACGGAAAGATGTAGATGCGTTGTAAAAAAATTCTATAGTGAACCTATTATATGGAACCAACCTCCTGAAGGAAGTTATCAATGCATTTTATTTACAGTAAAACACATACAAAAAATAGCAAGCTCATAGAACCGGAAAATTAAAAAAGTTATTGGAAATAACGTCACACCATGCTAGGAGAAACAAATTGTGGGAATGGTGTTAGATAAAACCGTTGTTTTACCTCCCCGAGGTAAAGGCTGTACCGTTGGCAGCGCCAAATGTGGAGAGCGTGACTGCCAGAGGCATGAGGAAAGCTGCTGCGCCCAACACGCGGTTGCCAAACGTCTACAGCGTCAGAAAACATGCCAAATTTTAAGAAATGACAAGAAAATGCAAGAAATTGGAATAAAATAGATGACGTATTTACAAATGAAATAATTTATTTATGTTAGAAAGGCTGAAAATTCACAATATTGGGGGAATGTTATTGTATGAAAACATGTTTCAAGCGTGATGTGTCCAGGAAAAGGGAAAGGTATGACAATACGGAAATGGTGTGCACCAGACGTAAGAAAATTGAGTTGAGCTCCAAGATCCGTTGGAGCTTTATAGTGTGATTTTAAATAGTATCTGTACAAAGAAGAAAGAAAGGTTACGAATTAAAGACGTAGAAAGGAAAAAAGAAAAAAATAAGAAGATAATTCTTATGAGCGCTCCTTCCGAAGTTAAAGTGCATAAGTCTTCATGCAAGCAGCCAGATGTACGAAAATCAAATTGCCGGAAGTACAAGAACCGAACTGCCAAAGGAATGAGAACCAAACCGCCGTACGAATACAAAAACCGAACTGACACTGAAATGAGAACCAAACAGTTAGATCCAAGGTAACACCCCTGCCGGAGGTACGAAAACAGAAGAAGCAGGTATGAAACCCCATCAGGAGGGGACTCATTTATCCATTCCACATGGTACGCATGATTCTTGCCGTCATGACTCTCTCGTCCCGCCACACTTATGAGACTCGATTCCGTAGTCCCCAGTGGGGGCACGGCTCCCACTCTGGAGACACTAACCTCATCGTCCTTGACGGAACGGGCGGGCATGACTCATCCTTCCCACAACGAAAGCATGACTTTCACTTCACATTATGAAGGGCCGCCTTCTTCATCTCTCATTCTGCGCAAGACCCTTTGGTCCCTCACCGCTGGGCAAGATCACCGATACCTCATGAAAGGGCAAGACCCCCGAGGCCTTCACGACAGGACATGACTCACCGCGCTGACGTGAACGCGGATCCGTTGGCAGCCCCGAAGGTGGAGAGCACAACCGCCAAAATCATGCACAGCTGCCCCGCCCTCCCCAGCAACGCTTCCCCGAACACCTGGGGTGTTGCCCGTGTGTGGGGAGGTGGGTGTTTGTAGGGGCGTTGCGCGTGCTAGGTGGTGGGTGTTTGTAGGGGTGTTGCCCATGTGTGGGGAGGGTGTTTGTAGGGGTGTTGTTCGTTTTTGGGGGGGGGGGGTGTTTGTAGGGTATGTTCGTGTGTGCGGAGAGAGGGAGGGGTTTGGGTGTTAGTAGCGGTGTTCACTTAAGTTCAGGGTTGATGTTATTTAAGCATATTTTCGACGATGATCGAAAATTGGTGAATAACATTCGGTAGTGTAATCGAAATGTTCGATGGTTTTCATAAGAAGTATTTGGATTCGCGGATGTCTCAACGACGTTTAGGAGTTTATGGGTGCGTTCATACCGGCGCTCACGATTGCAACATAAAATTCAGTTGGGTACATTTATGTTCGATGGTTAAAAGAGATTTTTAGATCGGAATTGACATTTTGATTATAAGATATTTTGCAACCAAAATGGTTACAAGACATTTTACATCGGGTTTGAATGCATGTTATTCAGAGGTGAGGATCAGTTGCGTACGGTAGTGGTGTTCACAGGTGTCCAAAAACGGTTTATCGTTCAAAGGTATTGTCGTGCGTCCCGGGGTGTATATTATATATATAATGTGTTCAGTGTTCAAGTTTTAGTGTTCACGCAGGTTGGGGATACAAAAAATATTAATACAAACAAAAAAATTAACAAAATAAACTAAAAAGCAAAATAAGTAATGAAAACTAGGAACTATTTATTCAAACAAATTAGTACATGTTACTTTTTCTAGATCTTCGCGATCAGAGTGCTAAATACTCGGAATTGTCAGTTATCCGCTAGGACGTAAACTTAATTAAAAGAAAAATAAAATCACAGAAAACAACAGAATTCAAACTAAAAAAAACATCTGCTGAAAGCAATAATAGAAATACATACAATAAAAAAATTACAATATCATTATTGAACTATTAAAAAACGTAAAAATACTACTATCACCACGATAAAAACATATCTAATTTCAATTTCAATAATTACTACTATCTCTCATCAAAATTAGTTTAATATTTCATCAAAAAGTAATCGAAAAAGAAGCCAAAAAATGAAAACTTTAAATAAAAATTTTTAGTAGGGGAATGTTTGGGATGTGTGTAGGGGATGTGAGGTGAGGAGGCCTAATTAACCCCACACCTCCTACATACCACATTATGCCTACCCTTATTTAGTCCATTTCTAGCCGGGGATTTATATTGTTAACGCTGCTATTCCAGGCGGTTGGATCAGAATAATTCAGAACCACGGACTGACGAACTTCTTGTGCTAAGACTTACCTTCATCCATCAACTGACGTACTTCATATTTGCAACGTAAGCCTTCATCCAAGAACTGGCCTATTTCTTATATGACGTGTGGGGCTTTATTCATTGACTGATGAAATCTCCATATGATAAGTCGTTCAAGATTCTGGGACTGAAATATTTCGTCTCTGAAACCTCTCACTCCATCCGTGGACTGACCAAAGTCTTCTTCATTATTTGCATTTGTCCATAGAGTGATTTTGGCCTCCAAGATGCAGGCTGGCTACTATTTGTCAGCACGGAGTGAGCCTTTATGTTATACCGATCCGGCGGTTAACTCGTGCATTGAAGGTTGAAGGCGAAATCGCCTTCAACCTCATCAGAACTAAACTAAGAAACCCGTTCTTCTTCAAGCGATTTAGTTAAGCGGCAACGACTTATTCGAGTCAACTTCCGAAGGAGTCAGGATTTTTCGGAAAAAAATATCCAATATAGTTACAGTGAAATACTTTCAGGTATTACATAGTAACACGTAGCTTCATTGACGCTACGCGTTCAAGAACAAACTACACAGACCTATGCAGATGAAAATCTTTCGAATAGAAGTGTCTTCCATCTTCCAAAATTGGGGATTATCAGCAGCTACTTAGCTTCAACGTCAGTCTTGGATGGCACTGGTAAAAAGTTCGTCTTCCGGTTTTAAGAGGACAAGTCAGGAACATCGCAAGAATCGGCGACAGACCAAACATTGTATATTCTTCAGCGCCGCCACTACAATATTATATATCTGCACTCACCCCACGTACGTTAACGACACACTAAGCGTTACTAATCACTAAAATTACCAAACAAAAACAAGTTACTCACGACAGCGACGGTTTCCGAGGCGAGTAACTCGTCCTGACTCATGACGGCGAGGTAACTGATGTTGACTAACATGTAGCACAGCGTTACCGTGGGTATCCCGATGATGATGGCCCGCGGCAGGTTCCTAGGGTCAGTATTACTCATTACTCAGGGTGATAAATACTGTATGTTTTTCCGAGAGTAACTGGGTTACTGACTTTTCTCTCTTACTGTCTTTTCGTACTAAGAAAATTACAGGAATATTTACAACATTTATGCACATTATTTGATAACACGTTGACTCCGATTGTTTCATCTAGTGCTATTATTTCATTTTTTGTACTATTGCACTATTATGAAACAGGGTTGACAGACGGTATTTTTTCCGGACAAATTCCGCGATTTAATTTTTTTTAAGTTCCGTTGGCCGGCTAAAATTCATGCAAGGGGTACTTCCTGATTAAATTAAAAAATAAGAAATGGAATTTTTACACCCGAACCTACAAATATACTGGGATATATTAAATTATTGGCTTTTTTGGCCTTTTTTCTCCGCGGAATTGGCCGTTTTAGACCATCTGGCAACCCTGAATTATGTATCACTATGTCCTGGCAAAATACATTTCGTGGTACGCATATGTACCACTTCGGATGCAATGTGAAAATTAGTAACAAAACGTGAGAGTATTGAATGCTGTGAAGTCGTGTTATGGTTAGTAAGTAATCCGAAATCATCAATTACACTACAAATCCTTGATCAGTTTTCTATATTCATTTCCTATTTCAATATTTGACGTGCGTTGCCAATTGTGCCCCCGAAACATTACCTTCAAAGTATCACAATTCATTACAATACTACAGAATCATGGGAAATTTATCGAAAAAAATTCATATAACGAGTCAATCTAAAAAAACAGCCAACTTTGAGAAAAACAAGATAATTATCAAAATTAATTAAATTTACAAAAATTCTATAACCATCATTAAACCTAATGAGTGACATTATTCAAATTTTACTCAATCTAACGACCTCTTGGAATCAATCGGTCACTGTTTATATAATGTTTTCTTCACTAAGATTAATTTCTAGCTAGAAGTGCAGCAACACGTTGGCTGTTGTGGTTTTCCTATTCAAATTTTACGATACTGACTTCTAATTCAAACTATTATAATCACGAATAATCGTGAACCAGTTTTTAATTACGATCATTCAAGATATAATATAATTTAACGATAATAACAATTTCAAATAAACCTGGATAACTCACACGTAAGGCTTTTTGAGCTCCTCGGTGACGTAGTTCAGGTTGTTCCTGTTGAAAGTTAAATAAATGAATATGTGAACATTTCATTCAACAACATTTTATTCTGAGCAGTCAGCTTCACCAACATCACATACAATCCACGGTGGTGAGCAAAGTGTGGACATGAAAATAATGAAAAACATTTTAAGAAAATTATACAAATAAAAACATAACATATCAAAGAGAGACATGAAACGCTTTTGTCACAAGTGACACAAAATATGCTTTATCATTCAACGAGGGTCATCAGTACGCATCATCTGCCATTTTAAGGACAACAAATGTTTACTAGTACCTATAAATGAAAATTAAACATCAACGTAAGCTAATTTATATAATAGAATTTAAAAATAGACATGATGTCTGGCCAGGAATAATAGGTAAATTGGCCGATAGTGCGTCAACAGTCATTGAAAGTAAATATAATAAATACACTAACGAAATTGGGATGCGGGCCTGACTCTGCGACAGGTGCTCCCCTAAGACTCGGGGAGCACGCAAACCAGCCGCTCTATATATAACCGCTTCGGCGGGGCTTGAACTGCAGCCTCTAATCAACTTGCTAACTTAGTACAAATTGGGTTCGGACAACCTTTTCACAATACCTTCTTCATCGTACTCGATTCGGGAAGGGAAAAGTCGGAAATTCAATTCTAATAAGACGTTGATTTGTTTAAGTAGCCAAGTAATTTCTTTCCTCCTCAGGTGGCGGCTCCAATGCCCAAGGCTGGGTAGTTCAAATTTTTTTTCTAATATCCCTACATGAACAATAAACTGTTATCTTAAAAATAATTTATGATTGGCAGCACAATCGTATAAAACATCTGACCAGCCATCGTAGGCCCAGAGGCCGCTGTAGAAGGCAGTGGCGACGTCCCCAATCCTGTTGGTAGTGCCCGTGAAGCCCGTGGCCAGGTACTGCGTGTTGCCCTGGGCGAGTTTGTAGATCCCACCCGCGACGATCACGAGGATCGCCAGCAGCTTGGCCGCCGTGAACACATTCTGCACCTTGGTGGCCAGGGCCACCGAGTACGAGTTGATGAATGTGATCAGCACTGCCGGGGGAATTAAAAATGAGTGAGTGTTCAAAAAATGATGCACATTTTGGTCATTATTATCGTAAAAAGAGGATGATCTGGTAAACAGTTTGATTTCTGGCCACAATGATCAGTGTGTAAAATGATTGTTCAAGACTTTTTTCCACAAAAAATCCGTAATAATTAGAGAGTTTAAGTTAAAATTCACATAAAAATTTCATCATATTGAATCCATGTTGAAACAAGTGATGCGAGATGAAGCATAAACTGTATAAAACGAGTCAGACTCAATAATAACTTCTTCAGATAACATATTCATACTCATTTCCATTCAGTTGAAATCATCACGTCTTTCGCACGTCAATTAAACTTCAAGTATATCAGGCAAAACTCAGACATCACACAATTCTCACTCCGTCTGCGAAAAGTATTGATTTAGAATTTGCAACCAGCAACACATTCATTTCAGATTAGTAACAAGTCCTTGTTACACGTAAATCACACCACATTCTACGGATTTTAAATATGAATTAATAACAAGCGTACAATTTCTACAACAGAAAACAAAATGCAAAACTCGTGCAGGGTGACTAAATTAACAAAAAAATACAAATTTCAATTGGAATAAACAATTTTTCTAATTGAAAAAAATTACACTCAACTCAGAAACACGAGGACTAAACCATTAACGGGTTTGTGATAGGAACTTTTCAAAATGAGATAAATATTAGAAAGGCAATCCAACACCTAAAACACAGGTAATTAAGCAATCAATACCTGGGTGGTAAGTTGACAACATGTGGAAGGCCGATGCAACAGACAATTAATTATTAAGCGCCATCTAAAATAGTTTCAACTTGATCTAAAGTTCTTCACAATAATTCAACGAATTACGTAGGCTTCCTGCTATGCTACTGAAAATAGTTAACTTGACCCACGGATCATTCGTAAATTAAATTCCAATCGCGTTTGTCCATCTTTGTCATCCAACAAACCGAATTTATTAGAACATAGATAATGAAAAGGAAAAAATCATGAATAACAGCTTTTTGCATGTCCTTCAGTCTCTACATACGTATAAGGCTATCACCATAAGTGTTTTCCTTTGGTATTCTCTTCCACGTTTGAAATATAATCGAACTCTTATAACTTTATCAATAACATACAAAATTATTTCGTAGACTTACAAATGCAGGCGACAGCAAACAACTTCACGGTCGTTCTTGGTGCAATGAAGTCCATGCAACCGACAGAGAAACACTGAGACAAATACTCGGCAAACGTCAAGGTGATGATGGCAAGGGACGAAGGCTTCAGAAGTAAAACGGAAACCCAACTGAAGAGGAAAGCGGGTAACGGTTGATACCAGGCACCCCTGTAATAAGCGCGCGGCGGGTCCCGCGTGCACCAATGAGGTTGCGACTTGAACGGACTCTTCATGGGAGCGGCGTCCTGATTGGCGGGTTTTGAAATCGAGGTCTGCTGATTGGCGGGATTTGAATGCACGACGGTTTGAGCGGTTGACTGATAGCCGGGCTGGGATCCTGCAAGGATGGCTTCAGTGGGAGCCCTAGAACTTCTCCGAGAACCTTCGGACTTTTCGTCGCTACTAAACGCGTTGTTCGAAGCGCCGTCGACAGACTTTCTTTTCCCTTCTCGTTTTTTGATGGGCGCAAAAGTTTCAAGATAGTAAGCATATTCTCCGCCTGAGTCCGGGAGCACCGTGCCCAGTTCTGCGTAGCTTAGGGCGCCTATCGGATGTTAATTTGACCAAAATTCATTTTGCGGTATGAGTTTTTTTAACGGAAATGAAGTTATGAAGGAATTTGAGTGAGTAAACGAGAAGAAACAAATAAATTTGATAAAATGTGATGAATAAAATTAAAGAAAAGATGAGAATTGAGTCGTTGAGAAAAAGAAAAACCCCGTGGTTTTCGATTGGCAGATTTTGTGGATCTTGTTTTGTGCAACCGATCATATTTTAGGGTGGATTTGTACCTTAAAATTCAGAGGTTTCGAGGTTCAAGGGAAAAATAAAAACTTGTTTTTGGGGTGAATTGGGTAGATGGAATGGAGGCAATTTCGTATTCCAAGTGATGTCGTCCAGGGATATGAAAAGAAAAAAAAAATAATCGTATTAATAAATGAATTATAATTTCATAAAAATATTATGACCTGAGGTTCAAGTAGCAGTGCCGCCAAATAGTGGTGTAAATAATAAGGATCGCTTGAAGGGTAAATAATATAAATCCGTGCATAAAGAATAACTGAAAACCTGTAACATATCAGTAACAAGAATTGTTACGGAATACCTGTTGACTGGTCGTCTACTTCTGACCCTAATCCGTTCCGCTACAAGGCCAGCATAAAAATATAAATTTTTTGTTTAAGCCTTTGTATTAATATTATCGATGCTTTTGTATAAATAAAAAAAATCAAACAAACACAGCACTAAACCTTATAATGAAACAATTTTTCTCAAAAAAGCAAGATGCTTTTTGGTTGTGAAATGAACAGGCCTAGTAGACTGAAAACGGCTAGCAGAATTAGAAAACGGGGCACAAGAAGAAGAGAAAACGGTTCGAATTTCAGGGCAAATTTCGTAAATACTTGTTAAATTTGACAAACTTTTTCTCAAATTCACGGTGCAAAAGCCAACTCCAGACTTTTTTACGTCAAGACTTTACGTAGTATTCCAAGGTACTGATAACTTTTGGGCGCGTACAAGTTTACACTAAAATGGAATTTTCATCCAAAAAGTAAGGATTGGAGCGAGATGCACGCGTCAATAGATTCAAAGCAAAATAAATTGAGCGAAAACATAAAAAACTTATAGGATGTTCTTAAGAATTACATATTACTCATTTAAAACAGAGCTCCACGAAAATAAGGCATGCAAAGTAATAATAGGCGTGCAAAAATCCATGTATTCATGCATAAACCGTGTAATATATACTGTAAAAGCTGAGGAGGAATTCGAAACAAAATGATGCACAACATATTAGCTTAACACGAATAAAATTGCATTATTATTAGCAGAATAAATCGTCACATATAAAACATTGACAAAATGCGGAAGCTGTTCGTGTAAAAAACATGCACATTTACTAGACACGCCCACTAGGCATCTGACATTGAAAAAACGTTCAATTGACGATAATTCGACGATGCAAAGTTCATTTCAATGTTAATCCGAAGTCAGATGACTAGTGAGGCATGTAATTCAATGCAATGTACAAAATTTGCTCGGTTTACGAATGCTACCGCAAAAAATTCAAAATAAAATTGGCGCGGTGGATTTTTATTGCTACAAAACTAAAAGGGTTTACAAGAAGGGTGGTTCGATCTACGCGGGAGAACGAGTCAAAGAACTCGCATGTCGCACCAATCAAAATCATTCCAAACCATTTGTTCAACTACAACATTCCACCATGATCATCTGTCCACCATTTAATGTCTCCACTGGATCATCCGTCCACCGATTCATTTTTCCACCAGGCCATTGGTCCGTTTTGTCCACCAGACCTATAGTTAGGATTGCCAGAAGCTGGATGGCCAGTCTTGGAGGTTGGCAGTCATCAGCAAATGCTTCCACGAGGTACTTGCTGAAGGACAGGCAGATGATGGCCAACATGGCAGGCTTCAGGAGGATGATGGTCACCCACGCAAAGAGGAAGGCTGGCAGGCCACCAAAGGTGGTCATGAAGTAGGTGTGCTCCCCCCCTGAGGAGGGGAGTAGACACCCCAGCTCCACGTAGCACAAGGCACCTAAAGGTAGGTCATGCGCAGCCAAGTGAGTCAAGGGGCAGCTAAGTGGGTCATTGGAGTAGGTAACTTGGGGATTGCATGGGTAGATATTTGAGGTATTGTGGCGGTTGAGTGAGTCCTTGAAAAGCTAAGTGGGTCAAGGGGCCGCTAAGTGGGTCATTGGAGTAGGTAACTTGGGCATGGGATAGATACTTGAGGCCTTGTGGCGGTTGAGCGAGTCCTTGAAAAGCTAAGTGGGTCAAGGGGCCGCTAAGTGGGTCAAGGGGCCGCTAAGTGGGTCAAGGGGCCGCTAAGTGGGTCAAGGGGCAGCTAATTGGGTCATTGGAGTAGGTAACTTGGGCGTAGGGTGGATACTTGAGTCAATGTGGCATTTGAGTGAGTCATGGGGCAGCGAAAAGGGTCATTGGAGACGCTGGGTGAGTCATAAGGCACCATTGCGCGTCACTAGTTAGACTCTTTTCGAAGGCCTCGAAATTCCAGTCAAAATTTAGGAGCAATTAGGCGGGGGTTTCAGGGAATGATCGGCGATGTGAGGCGTGATGGCGTCAGTTCATTCAGCTGAAAAACAGTCCTATTTGTTCTCATAAATAGCGATGTTTTCCCTAGTAACAATTTTTGAAGGGGCCAATGATGGCCCAAGGTGGCTTAACAATATTGGCCACATGTGGAAGTGACATATAGCAGCCTCATGGTTTTTGTGAAAATTCTGCCCAGCTAGGCCATGTAGAAATCACATGATTTCTACATAGAGCCAACATAGCTTCCTCATGACAAAACCATGTGCCTGTCACAGTATGGCTACATCGTTTTCTTAAATTGGCCCAACATGGTTCTATTGATGGGCCAACAATTCCTTCATACGTCAAAACCATCTTCGTTTTGGGTTGCTCCTACATGACGGCCGCATGATGGGGCCAGCAGGTTTCTATCGAGGGCCCACGCGTCAAGAACATGTGTAAACCGTGTATACATACCATATACCTGTGTTGTACACGCAGCCTTTCATCCTGGGCCCAGCTGTTTCCAGCAAGGGCAAAAAATTAAGCGTCAAGCACCAGGCGACAAAACGAACATGTTGAAGTCATTATCGTGTAGATCTGGTGAGCTATAATAATCTGGAACCTTATAAGCTTTGAGCTCATACAAGGAATGAGTCAAACTCTAAATTTCACAGTTAAGGTTTAAATTCACAATGAAAAGCTGCCATTCGTTCTGATCCAGGGACCTTCAAAATTTATTTCGTTAGAATAAATGATGGAGTTTTTAATTTAATTCGGTGTTCGGATTTTATATCATACTCAGCAGGCTCATGATGTCGTATATACAATGAACCAAATGCGAGTAACTGTGAAAAGCATCTGTGGGAATTTAGACACATATATGACAATATCACAACACAGTGGTGAATGACTGCTCAATTTATTTACCAATATTTCAACTTATAATCAATTTTGTGCAAACGCCAATCAACCTTGAAAGGTTAAATTAATACCTTTACCGAACAGCCAAAATAAAGACGTTGGACTGCATATCTGTTAACGAATTAGCCGTTTAATAAATAGCCATCAAAATAATAACGTACTTTTCAACTACACGTCCTACAACCTGTGATATTAAATTAATGGATTTAAAAATAATACGAATTATACGAAAAGTTTTTTATTTGTTAATATTAAACTACGAAATGATACAAATCGAGACCAATGATCTATGGTCTAATCACACTCATAAATCCGTATTTGAATAAAACTAGAATTCAGCTGTAAGTATTACCAATTAATAAACCTATTTTCAAAAAAACATCACAATCGAACGTTCAAAAGTAAAAAAAGAACGGCTTTGAACCATTCCTATAATCCGGCATCAATATCTCAAAACATGCAACGAATATAAACTATTATATGAATGTTCATTGCGATTTTAAATGGCATCTGCCAGCCTATATAGGAGCAAGTAATGCAATGCAGAAAATAGCTATATTTTTAATGTCTAAATGAAATAGATAGTAGCAATAAACTACCAACTGTCCTATTACTTCGCGTAAGCCAAGAGTTAATATTTTTTTACTAGTGCAATAACGGTTGTTTGGTAGAGAGTTGACACTAAAAGGCGAGCAATAACGGTTGTTAGATAGAGAGTTGACACTATAACAGCGTCAAGAGGCGAGCAATAACGGTTATTAGGCAGCGAGTTAACACTATAACAGCGTCAAGAGGCGAGCAAAAACGGTATTAGATAGAGATTTAACACTATAACAGCGTCGAGAGGCGAGCAATAACGGTTATTAGGTAGAGAGTTAACACTATAACAGCGTCAAGAGGCGAGCAATAACGGTTATTAGGTGAGGAATTGACACTAACAGAGTCGAGAGGATCTACGGCCAATGATCTATGTTCTATATAATCACACTCAAATATCGGTATCTTTTAGCAATAAGTCAGTCTGAATGAAATTAGAATAAAGCTGTAAGTATAACCAATTCAAACTAATCTCTTTGTTGATGTCGCACGCTGTTGCTGCTTGATGAGGGTGTGGTGATATCAGGACATCTTCTGTAAGACAAGACGAAATTGCGATTGGAGAATGACAGTGATATTGTATAAAAATTATGTATGAAATTCAAATCATGCATCTCTATATTTGGTTTCGATTTAGTACCGAGTTTCACATATAAATACAAGATTATTTCAATTCAAGTCATTTTTTAACTAGAGTAGATAAAATTATTTTCAGGACTCTCGAACTTTATTTTAAGCATAACATTTGAAACTTACCAACCATACACTGATGAGCTTTCAACGCCTTGAATGCTGGTTTTATTCCTTTCTTCTGAACTGAACTCTAGGGCCAGGATCTTGATTAACATCACTCGCATGTCGTTATGTATTAGATGAATGGGCACACGATGTAGACACTGAAACAGAAAAGGAATTGTTCGGAAGTCAAATCATAACGGCAATAGTTCTGATCGCAGTCTAAGAGAAGGCATTGTAAGACAAAAAGGTATGGGAACAGAATTTCAACGAATGTGGGGAAGTGGGAGAAACCTTAAGAAAGTGCGAGGAAGAGATGCGAGAACAATGAGCTGTTCTTTGGCGTCGCGCACACTGGCGTAGTAATGTAAACAAAGGTATAGCGGCGAGGGTCGGAGACTGTTGCGAGGCACAGACGGGGGGAAAAATGAATGAAGAACGATTTTACGGGAAGTAAAGCGTGTAAAATTACGTGATAGAATTATGTTTGAAAACGTTTAAATGAAAGCCGGAAATAGAGGATTTTATTAGTGTATTTTAATAGTGTATTTTATTGGTGTATTGTATTAGTGTACATTATGACTTCATTTTGTTCGTGTATTTTATCAGTGTATTTATTAGTGTATTTTGTTGTTATATATATAAAAATTGCTGGGAACTTAATTTTTTGTAATTCTTTCAATGAAACTCAATTTCAGTAATTCACTTCTTTTTCTTCGGAAGGGAGAGAAATTTAACTTCTATTGTTTGATTTTGATGATTCAGAGATGCAATAGTAGAGTTAAAATAACATTACAACGCAAGTTCTTTCAGAAATAAATGACGATGAGCTAAAGAAATATACTCTCTCGTTTTTATATAATTGCAGTATCCATGAGCGATGTGAACTGAATTCTATGATACACAATACAAGTGTTCTCACTGGCAGGAACGGGGTTAAGAGTATTTATCTGACAGAAAAAGCATAAGATTATGGCTGAAAATATACAATGAAATTATTCAACTCACCCTGTATCTTCTTAGATATTTGAGGTGGTATCACCTCTGATGATGATGTGCCTTCTTTGCTTGAGCTCGATGAGCTTCTTAAGACAATTTTCCCAGTCAAAGTTTGGATTTTGCACACAGCCCATCATTCAGTATTACTATTCCTAAATTTAAGTACTGAATGCTAATTATTATTTTCTGCAAGAAATGTTTTGCTTATAATATTATGCTAGTACACTGTCTAAATGTTTTGAATATCCTAAAATTTTTCGTAGTTTTAAAAATGTTTCAACGAATTTTGATTATTTATACATCGCGCAAAGAAATTGAATGATTTAATTGAAAATGATTTAATTAATTGTGACATTGTGTGACGTTGCAATGCTAATTAATCCGATCGTCGCCTGAAATACGGCAACCCTCACATGATAAACCCCTCACACATCGCTACGTTAGAAAGTGGCACCCGCGAACGGGAACGCCGCGGGCCATTTTAGACGGCGTCCCTCGCTCTAAACAAAGACAAACTACGATAAAATTCGCCACTCGTCAATAATATCTTATGCCCAGCAATCTCGCATTCATTCATTAACTCAATACAATCACTCTCCTAGTGACACAGTGCATGGCAATTAAAATACACAAGAACTGGGAATGACACAAGATCGAGCACCAAGAACAACCGTCCGCGAGTAACTGCAGGACACTACTGAAAAGTGAAAACGATCAATCTGAGGACCCACGAGATTAAGGGGAGGGGTATACCCTCCAGAAAAACTTCCACATTTACCAACGGATCTTTCTGAAATTTCACACATATATGTAAAACCAACAAACTAAGACATTTCGTTCGTATGATTTTTCAAAAAAATTGATAGAAAACGTGAAATTCATAGAAAACGGACAAAAAAGGGGGTACTTTAGAAATCTATCTACTCCTAGGGTTTTTAAGCTACAACATTAATACGCATATCATTCGATGCGTAAAGACCATACCAATCGAGTAGTGAAACTCGATTTTTGATTTTTGCCTTAGTTTTTTTTTATACGCATTTCCCGTTTTTTTTTTCTCAATTTCTTCCAATTTTCTTCAAATTTTCCCACCTCTCCCCCATTTTGAATCCAAACTTTGCACAAATCTAAAAAAGGGCATCGTTACGCGATAGGTATGGTCTTTACGAATCGAATGATATATGTCTTGTCACTGTAGCTTTAAAACTCTAGGAGGAGATAGGTTTTCCGTGACAATAAGTGTGAATGTTGAGGAGAGCTCGACAAAGTCCCGGGCGCACTGCAATAGGCGCTCAATGAAGCACAGATACCAAACTAAACGTTTCTGGAGCTTGATTCCACTCAAGGATGGTGGGAGCGACTAACATGTACACCTATCCGTACAAAGCTCGGAGGCACACTGAGCCTCACCTCACAAAAACACTGTATATGTAGTGCTGGGGCAGCGAATTAGCTCCTATGTAATTACTGAAAGAACTCCCAACCCGGCCCCCTTTCATGAAGTGTTGTGTACGTAAAAATCAACGTACAGAGATGGTAATGGTACTGTTGAATAGGTCAGAATGTCAGCTTTAAGATGAGACTAAACACGTAACTGCAGCACAACTCAAGTAGACACTATATTTAAAGATCTCAGCAGCTAATTCGTTCCTATCTAATTACTTAAAGAACTCTCCCACCCGCCCTCCTTTCATGAAATGTCATGAAAGTATAAATCAATGTACAGAGATGGCAGTGGTACCGTTGGATAGGGCAGAATGTCAGCTTTAAGATGAGACTAAAACCGAAAATGCCAAATACAAAAATTTTAGGGTATACCTCCCCCTTAAACCGTCAAACTTTACACTGCCTCCAAAGAAATTATTTTTAATCAAACTCAAGTGCATGATACAATTTCTAAACTTATAAGTCCGAGGGCATGGTGCACGGCGTGACTATAGACAAGTAACACCGTATCCCTTGACTTTAAATTTCAGTCATTTCAAATTGAAATAAATTCTCTAAATTAATATTCATGTAATTCTATTGAATTATTTTCCATTCATTATACAAATAGTCGTATTTTGATATGAAATCATTAATAATGTTCAAGTTATGAACTGTAATAAGTTTTATGAACTAAAATTTTTGTTGTCCAATAAATTTTTTGTGTCTGAGTTCGCCAAGTTGTGTAATACATCAAAATTAAGCCCAATACTCTGATTTTCAGTATTATCTTGGTTTGCCACATGTACACCATATGGGCCAACACCACTGATTTCTTTACTGGTTTTGCTTTATTGGTACAATGTTGTAGCCACATAGCAATGTCATGCATATTCAGAGTAAGATAGCATCAATGTGGGCCCCATATGTTGAAACCGTAATGCCACCTCATTTCCACATTGTCACATGGGCCCCTCATGGGCCCATTGTACAATTGTTACTAGGGGTGTTGCACTTTGGAGAAAGTTGCGAAAGTCTATATTATTATTTGACAAACAGTGTTGATCTTTTTCGAATTATGAAATTCTATTTTATTTTGATACTGTCATCAGACGTATGTGCAGGCTAACTAGATGCATTTATAATTGTCCTGATCATGCCTTATTTTATAATTCATGACAAAATGATATAATACATTTTCGAGACGATCACTACACACACTCCTATTTTTGGCCAATGCATATGCACTCAGGCTGCTCAGCAATTACATGAGTTATGAGTACATGGTCATTTACTCATTTAGAAGGAATTTAGAATGCCACCATGGTCACTCACTCCTCAGTCCTCAAGAATAATGTTTAAGCCCCTGCAAGCATAGAAAGCATCTACCTTCAAGTCAGTGACTAGAGGTTTCCAGCCATTTCTGGAACACTGAGATTTCTGCTAGATGAATTACCTCCTTTCTAATTGTTAACAAAAGTGCATGATCTGGCCTCAAGATTCTAATTGTATTAGAAATTTGTCACGTTGGAGCTGTGAGATTTCAGAAACAAGTAGGAAAATTTCTATCCTGAGCCCCTGTTAACAATATGAGGCAGAAGTTTCCTAAAATCTGGGGCAAAAAAACAAAAATGATTGTTTAAGGAGTAATTTTCAAAAATTTAGGTGAAAAAAGGCTATTTTTCACATTTTTTTCTAAACTCAGGATGGCACCATCTTTCATGGATTTATAAGGCTGCTTCAGGCATAGTAGGAGTAGCATACATGTTAAGTTAATCGTTAATGTGACATCATAAACATGGTTACTGACTTACTGTAGTAACTGTACAGAAAAGAAAACAACTCATCTGGGCTTTTCTGTGAAGAAAGGAAAATTCAAAACGGATTGACAAACAACCAGTGACAGTCTTCACAAACGCAATTCTGGTACATGAAATTGATACCGCATGCTGATCCTAAATTACACATACTTACTCGTCCAAGCATATGCGAACAATTACAACAGCTTCCACTGTAAACAACCACTCCGAGCAGAGCGTACAGAAATCCGGAAATTATTGCGGATCGATTTACTAATTTAACAAAATCTCAGTCAATGTCTGTGATATATTCGATTCATGATTGAATTGATGCCAAAATCGATTAATTCGATCAATAAATGCAACTTGAAATGTTTGATAACATTCTCAGGAAAGGATTCACGCGTATTTATGTGAAGATCCGAAGCCCCTTTGACATGGTGCGGCATGTTTTTGTGCTGGTGGAAGAGAGAGCGCGTAGACCGGCACTTGTAGTTCTCTTGTGGATGCATCGTACGCCCGTAGACGTTTTTGGGCTTTTCCTTTGAGCTTTGTTTTGTAGTGATCTCGGCAGTATTGTTAGAATAAGATAAGATGTAGACATCTTGCTAACTCAATATTGTACATATTGTCATCCGTAACAATGGTCAGTAACAACGGTCAGTAACAACAAAAATCATAGTCAACTATAACAAAAATAATTTGCGAAGTGTTTTATAATACTTTTAAGATCCGATAAGAACAATTATAAAATTGAACACTAGAACAGCAACCATAGCACAATTTGATACCTAACGATGGCAACATCTTGAAAGACTTCCGGTTTTCCCGGAGGCCTATTCCGAGCCCTTCACTCTTGCTCTGACGCCAACACGCGAGGTTGCCCACCGTGCCCTCCTTAGTAGTTCCTTATAGGTGTTGTGATATCTATACACTGGGCCTATTTTACGTACATGTTGACATCAAACTAAATAAACCGAAACCACTGACCTGCATCCCCTATTACCCTACCTACATTTAGGGAAGCCTCAGTCAAATATAAAATCGTCAGCACAAAATTAAACGAATAGTATCCCTCAGACATCCCTCAGTACCCCCTCAACTTCCCTCAGTCTCCAACTTCCCTCAGTTTATACCAGCCTGAGAGTAGGGTAATATGGGGCAAAGGGACCACTGCGGGTCAAAGGCCCATAGCGGGTTTCTCGCTATATATGGCATATAGTTTCACTGGGATGAAGTGTACGGTTTTGCTAAAAGTTTGCATTCTTAAGTTAGTTGTGAAATAACTGTTTTAGCCCAGATAAAAGTTTTTTGCTGCTAAATAAAACTGTTTTCGATTACTGTAATGTAGATGAAGCTTTTGAAATTACTGTGAATTATATTTTGAAAGTAACATTTATAAGGATAATTTTGAGACGTAAAATAAATGTTGACACGATATAAATTGAAATGATACCTAGTGGGGCAACGGGCCCACGAGTGTCACGGGGCAAAGTGCACATGGAGGGCTCAATACCCCTCTGTGAAGTCTTAGAATAGAATAGAAGTGTCGGCGTTGAAGAAATAGGCCCATGACCTGTTGCCGATTCTTGAACTTTTCATGACTTGATTCACAAGGGATCCGGCCTTTGGAACCCGATCTTTCCATAGCTGACGATTGATTGAGATAGCTGCTGGACTTATTGCCTGGTCCGTAATTTGCTAGGCATTTTAAGACTGAACATATGCTCCTGCATAGCTTCGTCTAGTCTGTTTTT